GGCTGGGAAAGGACATCTCCCGCCCACCCCAGCTAGAGACTACCCTATTACGAAATAAATAACATTACGTACGTTGATGTTAACTTTACATATTTACGACATTTTAGTTCCGATGAATTCATTACGGAAATGTTAATGGTTACTATAGCTTGGTCTAAAGTTAGGTACTGTTGATCTATGCTGTCTTAAAAATTGTGGATGCATTATTAGCCGTACTTATAATAAATATATTCAACTACATGATTGTAATCATAGAAACATAGGTAGGTCAAGAAAAGTTCAGATCATACAATGAAGTTAATAAATCACTACTTAGTATAAAACAAAGTCGCTTTCTCTATCTATATATCCCTATGTATGCTTAAATCTTTAAAACTACGCAACGGATTTTGATGTGTTTTTTCATTTAAAGAGTGTTTGAAGAGAAATGTTTATATGTATAATAACGTCCATTAAATAGTGGAGAAATTTAGTATCAGTATTGCACTCGTGCGAAGCTAGGAGTAATTAATAAAACAATTGGGTATAAGAAGTTGCAAAAGAAAAGTGTGTCAAGTTGTTGGGTCAGGTCAAATCATGTGTGACCGGTATATCACAGCTATCCATCATCACAGAGCTTGAAGTATTAATAATTCACACAACACAAGACTCACTTTGACAAGAAGATATTTAAATTATTCTATTAATAAGTACCGATATTATGTATTCATGATTAATTATTATAATTCTTTAAATGCCACTTGGCTTAAGGATTACGTTGATATTAAATTACACTGTCTAAGCCTCGGGCATATTTTTCTAATCCACAATGACAAAGGTGCAAAGGTTTCGGCATTTCGTTTATTGGCACTTTTACATACATTTTGCTGCAACTTGGAATTATTCGATTGAAACATGGCCGATTAGTTACTGAACCTAAGCATTCGAAACCTTTAAAGTGGGTACCGTCTTTAACTAGTAAGTAACTTCCCATAAATAGATATACATACTTTTTTAATTATTTGAGATAGGTTTACGAATAGACGGATTACCTGATGGTAAGCAACTTCGCCCATGAACACTCGTCGCATTAGAGGAGTTACGAGAACATTGCCAACTTTTTGTTACAGATTTTAGGTCTACGAATGTCAGTCGGTCCATTATACGAAAATATAAACAATTAATTATCAATGATCAACGAATGGTACCTATATAAATTCAATAAAAATAATTTTCCGCTAATAGGTCCTTGGTTTCACTTGGATCAACCGCAATGTAAATATTTCTGATAGGTGCTAAGCTTATTAAGAACTTATGTGTGACGCCGACAAACCACAAACTACACGCCTACACAATGTCATTGTAGTTTTAACTCTATTATGAAAATTCACAACTAGTCTTTGATAATGTTAAATTATGAACGATTTGTATTCTAATGAAAATGCTAATGATGCGCGGGCGGAGACAGATGGACCGATAGAGGCTTTATTTTCACTGAGAATATAAAATATCGTTTCTTTTAGGCTTAAAATGTTATTATTATATTAGTGTATCTAAAAAAGCGATTGTCGAGAAGAAGGAACTAAGTTGTTAGATGAAACGGAGGTGCGAAATGACGCAGCCGACTTTTCTCTGTTACCTCATTGTTTGTGCACCGTACCTCGGTACCTCTAAATGGGCCAGCCACCGCATCACCGCACGCCACCAACGGTATTAGCCAAATATATGATGCCATTTTACCTTAATTTTGTTTACTTCCAATACGTTACGAAATAGATAAGTGCCTTTTCTTAGCCAAATTACGGAGTACTCAGAATATGTAAACAATTTGTTGATTTGAAAAATATTGCACAATATCAACTATCATTGTTTGCGGAACGGAGAGGATATTTTTTGTGTTACACTTTTGTTTTAACTTATTATTTTATTAGAATGATATAGTTACACGCTCCTACTTAATACTGAGCTGAGTTTTAATTACCATTTTCATTATTAAAAGTTAAGTTATAACATCACATCACATCTATACTAATATTATAATAACATCACATCTATACTAATATTATAAAGAGGTAAAATTTGTAAGTTTGTATGTTTGTAAGTTTGTATGTAGGGGGTAATCTTTGGAACCGCTGCCTGGTCGGATTGCCAAAATTCCTTCACTGATAGAAATATACAATGTTCCTGAATGCCTATAGGCTATAAAACATCACACTACGATTAAAAGGAGCTGAGAGGGTGAAACCGCGAGAAAGTAGCTAGTTTTAAGCAGACGTATTACCTGGTGATAAGCAATCAGCACCGCCCTTGGACACCCGCAACACCAGATGTAGGCCGTGGTATCACTTCGGTCGAGCTGATCCAAGCATTGCTCAGGTACTTAAAATTAAGTTTTGTTCACAATTTTGAACGTAAATATGTATGGTCGTTGACACTTCACATATTCAACTTAGTCGATTGGAATACTACTTAGATCTCACCGACCCGCGTGACAGTCAAAAGGTAGTGTGTTTAACTACTCATTGTAATGAGACTGCTTCAACTATTGCTGTATTAAATATGCACATATATTATACGCAGCGGTATCAAAAGCATATACTTAGTGAATTATGGCCAGTCAACCACCACATCGGCAGACAAACCTTGGATTAATTTTCTGTTTTAAAAGATGCATTATTGTACATGACTATGAATAAATAGTGTTTGATTTATTTCTTCACGTCGTCGACCAACGTCCATTGATGCAAGCTGAAGGTCATTACTGAGCTTGTTTAGCCGCGTAATTGGAAGATACACGATAATTATTCCGAAATATTAGCCGGGTGTGGCACTCGCCGAATGATCGTCTCACTCAATCAATGGATTCATTCAACTTTACAATACGTACTACTCTTTACTATGTAATTTAAACGTCTTTAGAAAGTTTTACGATCGCTGTACAAACAAAACTTCTGCCACGGTTTTGAGTGGCAGTAGGCTATATCGGCTAATGCAATAATTGTGCAGAATAATTCCATAGGCTATCAGTAACTCTTTGTAATTAGCAGCTATTGTGGAGTAACTAATTGAGCTGACGCCTTCCATTTACCGTCGACGCCATTGTATTAGAAGACGTTACGTCGGATAAAATTACGTCGGTAATTAGCCAAGTATCTGTGAAGTAACTTATTAATAAACAATAGTATGTATATAATTATTTATTTTCTTAAATTTCTATGCAAAATAGTGTAAGAAAGATCTTTGACTTAGGAATGTATTACGTGTGTGTATGTACCAGTCGAAGAATTACGACGTCTTCATTGTATGCATCCGTTTGGCGAGGGTCCAGCTCGCGATAAACTGAAGGAATTGCATACATACATTAGTCGTTGTAGGTACTTCAATTAATATGGCTATAAAATATTTTTTTTAAGCTACGACTTATGATATCGTATTTTATTAACATTATACTTTTTATTTAGGTACGAAAAATAATTATCTTGACATAAAATACAAAAGTTTTTGTTACTTATCCATCATGTGTGCTTATTCCTACTTCTACATACTTACTTACCCATCATACTTCGACATTATTGGTTAAGTTTATGGGAACAATACTTATGTTGAATGACCGCTTGATGAACAATTATTACATACATACGCACATTGTTAAAATACGAGAGATATGAAGCTCTAAATAAATATATGATTTGACACACATTCGATGGTAGGCGCGAAATTATGAAACCAAATCAGTATGGTTCTTCATTAAATATATTTTGATACCTACCAACCGATTTCGTAATTGTTGACGTTTAGGTTTTCTTCCATCATACGACCATTAGGTAAACCAGATTTCTTGACCTAAGTTTAGATATATGGAGATTAAATGCTTACTTATTTTTTATATAATTTGAATATAAATTAATATTAAAATAAAACGATTGAATTAATTAGTTCGAGGTGTTTGTGTGACTCTGTTTTAGGTCTGTGGACATATTTTGGTCAAAGTTTAGTGAATCAATTAAAGCCACATATTAAGTTTTACACATTAATGTCGCAAAAAGTGTTATGTTCATAATAAGACTCACTTTCTATAAGTCTCCAATAAACTTGTATGGTTTATATCTTACAAATAACATTTTTTATTCAAATTTATTGATCTGGTAATAATGATTGCTTATTACAATATTATGATACAGGCCCTTAACAATAGAATGGAATGAAATAATATGTGTAGGGTCACGTTTATTATAGCTATTTCCTATATTATAATTAATACTTATAGATCCAACACGCCTGGGAAAAATTCACGTAATATTACAACTACATATAAGTGATAAGAGTCTGTAAATGTTATACCTACAGAAATGAAACTGATTATATTTAATTAATGGTCAATGACAGTTTATGAACGAGGATACCTACCTATTTAATAGTGTTTGATTAAACTAGGAAGCGTCAAATATAGGATTAAAATATCTGAATAGGTTTACAATACACATATTACACGAATTCTTTAATTGTCACCTATATTTGTAGAAGAGTTGAAATGAGGTCATAATTATGAAATGACTAGAAGAAAATTATCACATTTTATTGCTAACCGTCACTGCCACTGTCCTAACTGATTGCGATAACAGTAACTTTTGTCATTATCCCTTAAATTACATGTGTAAACAAATGTACGCATTTGTGCAATAGATGGTGCGTCCATAATACTATGTAAAGAACCCAGATTCGCTTCTCTTTATTAAAAACTCAATCCAATAAATACACACGCTTAGAAAGGCATTGTAAAATAATCGACCTACATTTGATTAATAACAAATTAAATGTTTGTTTTCACTATCGGCTTTTGTGAAATTTTAATTAAAATTTTCTGTCGTGTGAGCTAAAAAAACGATAATCGCTAAAGTATTATAACGCGAAACTGCTTAGATAATAAATGTGTGTTTTTCGAAATCACAAACGGACAATAGACACTGTTTTATTTATGTGTAAAGATCAGAGACGCTCCCCAATATTCGGCGTAGTGGTGGCGAGTATAAAACCATAAGCGACTCTTACGGATCATTACAGAGCCGCACAAACCTGCAGCCATGAGGACAGCGGTGAGTGACACACAAGCACACGTGACACACTACTAGTGAAATTGTGTACCTACACTTTGCATATTTAACTCAATCCATTAATGCGGACGCCGTGGATTTCTACTTAAATTAATATTTGTCTTTCCAGTTAGTGATACTGTCGTTGGTGGCGGCCATAGCGGGCGAGGCGCCCTACCACCTCCCGCGGCCGGGGGTAAACGCACCAGTGTTCAACTACCCTTCAGCGCCTGCTCCTGCACCTGCTCCTGCGCCTGCGCCCCTTCTACCCGCACCGCAGTTCCAGCCTCAACAGCAGCAGTTCAACCCTAACTTTGGCTACAACTACCCGGCTCCTCAGCCGCAATACATCCAGCCAGCACCCCAGCACCATCCCCACCCACCCCCACCTCCTGCTCACCACCATCACCACCACCACCACCAGGCGCCCGCTCCAGTCTACATACCCTCACCTGCCCCTCAACCCATATTTCGTCCTCAACCACTACCCGTGATTCAACCTCAGCCACAACCTATTTACCATCAGCCCAGTCCCTCATATGGAGTGCCTCAGGCATTTGCACGAGCACCAGTGCAACAAGCTCCATTACCCGTGTTCGCCCCTCAACCGGCACCACAACCTCAAGCACAAGTAAACTCTATCAGCCAGGTGTACCAGCCCATTTCCTACTACCAGCAACAACAACAGCAACAGCAACAACAGTACTCGCAGCAAGGATACAACTACCAGCAGCCTCAACCACAGTTCCAGCCACAGCCTGTGCCCCTCCAGGCTCAGCCACTGCTTCAAAACTCTGCACCTGTACTATCCAGCTACCAGGCTGACTCTAACCAGTACAACATTGCTCAGGAACAAGTCCACAGAGATGCTCTAGACTCTGTCGTAGTGAACCGTGTGCAGAATATAATCAAAGACGATGAGCACAGCGTTGCACGTAATGCTGGATACCAGTCCTTAGTGTCGGGGGTGTCTCTCGGACAAGCCAAGCCTAGCGTAGAAATCACTTCCTTTGTCCACACATCACCTGTGGTGACCAGCTCTGGACATAGCGCTCAATTATCGTCAACATCATCATCGTCAAGCTCATCCTTGGCGTCTTCTGCAGTATCACTACCTTCAACGGACTATGGAGTGCCTTCTGCGCCTGCTGCCATTAGCTCCCAATCTGCAGAGTCATCTGCTTCATACAATTTCTTACCACAGAACAAGCCAGCCATATCATACGGACCACCAAACTAATTAGGTTACGTCTCAGTATTGTACAAAGAGCTTTGTAAATAGTCGTCTTTTTAAGACATTTTGTAAATAAAGTACAAAATAAACCGTTTATATTTTTATTGTTCGTTTTATTAATTAATCATATTTATTCAGCAGTAGGTAATTATTGCAAATGTTATAAAACAAACAAAACACGTAGCACACAATTTAACTGCCATCGGTGTTTAATTTATCAGCACAGATAATTTTCATAAAGAGCGGATACTGGACGACACCTTTTTCCTAGAAAATATTAAAATTGTGTAATGATTGATTATATAACCAAACGTGGTGACGATGGCGGTACGCAAGAAGTGATAAAAACTTACGAAGCATATGGCATGGTCCGATGTTTGTACGGCGTCATTCGTGACACAGGCGAGGCACTGGGTGACTTTACTTACTATCGGTATTTCTTTTACTGTGCAATTACACTCCTCAGCATTTACAGTAACAGTCGATTGAGACTGCCACCTTATAGGCTTAGGAACAGGATTTACTTCTTGAGGTTCCTGGAAGATGCTCATTTAATATTTAGGCCATCTGATTTTTCATCACTGTTATATGAAGAACATGCTCGCTGTTATAAAATCATGAATTTGCAGAAATTAAAACTTACCAGTTTGGGAGTCACTTCGTTGACACATTCATTAGAATTACACAGACATTGCGACTGAGTATCAACCTTTACTATATTTTCCTCTGGACATTGACATGATATTTGTTGCTTTTTCTCTTTCTTTTGTGTTTTGAGTTCCTTCTCTACTGAAAGATTGCAATTTGATATTTTGCTGCTTTGCCTCTGAAAACATATAAAATATAAGCTTATTTTAAACTGAGCCGACTCCAAACTCGTTTTTCCTAACATCAAATACATGTTATTGAGAATATAATTATTTTAAAGAATTACCGAAATCGTTGCGTTTCCTGTATCGACATTGCAATGGCACGATCCATGTCGTTCTTGTGTTGCAGACTCGCATTGTATTTCTACATTTACTGGGATTACTAACTCTTCTGGACATTGGCAGGCAACAGCAGCTGCTTGTAAATTTGATGGCATTTGCTGAATTTGATCATGTTTACATACGCAGCTTTCGGATGGTTTTTTGGGTTCCCATGTTTTTAGACCTTCTTGTACTGTGTGGGGAATTGTATCTATGGGTTTCAGCACACTTCTTTCTCGCCAGATGCTACTGAGACTTTGTGATCTCCCAGAACATTTGAAGCTACCGGGAACATTAGATGATACCACTGTAGCGTTGGATCTCACCTCAGACGTTGGGGTTCTGAAATAATAAAACGTCATGACATAAAACATAGCAGATTAGGAAAACCAGAATTTGTACGAAATAATTAGTGATCCACTAACTGATAGCAATTGTCAGACACGGCGCGGGTCAAATCCTTTGGTTGCAGTATAAATTCACAGCTTTGGTTACGGCTCCTAGAAATAAGAAAATGCAATTAAAATCTATTCGTCCAAACTGTAACAAACATGCAAATAAAAACAAACTGTTTTTAAGTACAAACTTTTCGGGCAAATCCCTTGCGTCGTTACATGGGCGTCTACGTTTCCTCCATGGGCTGAAAAGGTAGAGGTCATCCGGATTACTTTGAATAGTGAACTTCGTTTAAGAGATACAACTTTTTAAGCTAACATAGTGACTTACCTTTTGATTCGTGCAAATTTTTTACTTGTACGCGGTTCACGTGTTGGTGCACTGAAATTGATGAACAATTAGGTGTAAATTCCTAATGAAAACGTAAAACATATCTAACGTATATATGTTTGAAGTTTCAATATTGCTCGTAGGTATTTATAATTATTACCAATGGATATTCAACAATAAAGTGATAGGCACGTAGTTATCAAAGGTTATGATGAGTTGGTGTTTATGCACCTATCAAGTATTAGTAAGCTTTTGTCGATGCTGTTTAGAGCGTGGCTAAATGACAATGGAGAAAATTTTAGGATGGCGATATTTTATAACATGCATGCCTTCTTAACACGTCGGTAAGTATCGACTAAAGAAACTAGAAATTATATTATTTAGACTAAGCGTTTAACTAAATGTATCATCATCAGCTTGTTAATGCCCACTGCTCGCCACGCTTGCTGGTGGATTGGCGAAACTTATAACTAGAAATTATCCACGACCAGGTTTTCCTTCATCGTATTATAGTGGTTGTCTAAATAATCTTAGAAAGTACATACATATATTTTGAAAAAAGTAATTTTGATTTTTGACAGGTTTTGTTCCCAGACCCAGGTTTTGTCTTGCCGGTCCTCGACGAATTGTTACTAAGTCACTACCTACAACTTATTTGTATTTTGAAGAATCGGTAAAATGTTAGTTAGCATACCAAGGAACACATTCCTTAATGGTAGCCTGTGGTGTCGGCTCGTAACACTGGTTCTGTCGACTGTCGCGCAAGTACTCTACATATTTGCTGTCCAACCACTTCGCAAAACTGCTCATTTCTGGGACACAGTCAAACCTCTCTGGTATACGTTCCTTGAAAAACACAAATGTTTAATGTTCTGTGGCTTATCTACCTAATTTTATTTTGATCGATTGTACTTTTTGTTAAGATGTTTTATCTTTCTTTTATAGATTTTCGATCATATTGCAAATAAATTGTGTGATATTGAAGTATTATTACCTGAGTGTACCATTTGAAAGCTTTCACAAAACAATTTCTTTCTTTCCTTGGCTGTTCGCATGTTTGCCTCCTATTTAGAGGCCGCGGCTAAAACATACAACAGATAAGTACTACATACCAATTCACTTAACACTTGTGAATGTTAAATAAGCGTAAGCTTAAGGTGCTTTATTATTTAATGAGGGAAAATCCCAATTCTCGGCTTGATGCTGGTTGGGAAAAGAAAGAAAATAGAGATATTTTTTAATTGTAAACCTTCTACGTAGGCTAGAGGTTCATAATTGCATTAGAACGACTGGTGGACAACTTTTATTAATGACATAAAATCATTGTTCCTAAACCATGTTGAATTTTCGTAATATTGAGAACTTGTGAAGAAGAATACTGTAGTATAATCATACTACCTAGAAGACTAATTTAAATAAAATACAATTAGGTAAAAACCTGTTTTAAAAAGTAACATTGAGTCTCGGTAGTTAACAGTTGAGATACATATTTTATCGATTAAGACACATCTTATCATTTATGGTCATGTAAATGATAAATCAGATGATGCTATCTGCTTTAAATTAAGTTGTACATGTATACATAACTGCATTGAAAGTAAATAAAAGTTTGTAAAAGATGGTTTTATATTGCAAATCTGGTTTACTGCACTTACTACTTCAGCATAGTAGATCAAAGGATGGTGAGCCATTGTAGTGAAGGTGAGGCCATGTCGACCATTCACCCTGGACTTTCTACGACAAATATAGCTGTCATGCTTATCTTCGATCAAATAAGTACATTGAGAACAATTACAATATTCACTATCACTGGACGATGTGGAAGACATAAAAAATGTTTGTATCAAAAGATTCCAAAAATGACAAAATTTTGATGATTTGCACAAATAATTATCAGATTTTATTACTTTACATTTACTTTCTTTCTGTCTAATTACTATTTTACTGTCAGTTTCGTTTTTTGTAGAAGACGGACCTAAAGAGGATTAATGTTTGTCTCTCAAAACGTGGAATGGAGTCACATATACGTACCATAGTGTTGTTAATTATGCTTTTATATTTTTGACCATTTAAAAAGTCCTTACTCCAAGTTTTATAGTCTCGCCTTGTTTTTTCCTTTCGAAGCCCTACTGAATTGTAAGCGTCAATGGGTAACTTTACGAATACTAATCGGCGGCAGCATGTTTTTGCACCTGCATGTAGCGTTTTCATTATGTATATCTCTAGCGTTTAGTTACAACAATAGACTGTATACGTTAATAAGCGTTGAAAATATAAGTGGTACGTAGTTCACTTACATTATTTGGTTTTACATGACCAAGCTAGATTGACAGATGTTTTTTGTTTTAGATTCTCGATGTGGAATATACCACCCATCTTTACAGGAAATAAAAAGGTTAAAGGTTACTAAGGGTCCAAAGGAGGTGGACCAAAATCTAACAGGAGGATTCAGCTTCGTTACTATCAGCATCACTGAACCAAGCTTTACAGGTGAAAAGAATTTATCGATAATATTTACCTTATTGAGTAGGTAATAAATCCTTATTTGAAACATTTTATTAAACCATGAAAGTAATGCAAATATGAATGCACATGAACGTAAAGCCATGTAAAGAAAAATGCATACCAATGGCGATGATAATTAATTACAATAGAAATTCTATAAGCAAGGATGATTTCAATTACAATAATCAATTCTTGTTTATATTGTAATGAGGTAAAATATGTAATTTGTAAGTTTGTATGTTGGGGGTTATCTTTGGAACCGCTGGTCGGATTTCGAAAATTCTTTCACTGATAGATGGCTACAATATTCATTGGTGCTGTAGTCTATAAAACTACTATCAAAGGATGCCACGCAGCGGGTGAAATCTACGCGAGGATGGCAAGTTAATCATAATTGTTGAATCTTCGCTTCATAACCAATATCATTCAATTTCTTCCGCAGATCCTTTAATAGAGTTTAAAAAGACTTTCGATAAAATATTGTATGGAGCGAAAGCTGGTAATTATTAATAATTATTTCTGTTCTCCATTAATTGTCAGCATGACCTATAGATAAGTACGCCAGTTAGGTAAGTAGCGATTTCATTTTTTAGAAATGTTATCTAGATCATATTAATATGTTGAAGAAATAAAAAATAACGTGAGCGAGTAGTGACGGTAGAAAATGTTGGGTAAAGTTTAAAATTCGTCATAGTTAGTAATTATGTGTGTGACACAACGTTGTATAACATCGAAAACCTGTTGGCGGAAGCTTTCTGCGACCTAGTGTAGGCATAGGTACTTATATATTATTATTTATATTCAGGGCGGTTCGGTGACCACTGACCAGCTGACCAGTCTTGTCGCTGTCTCTCTCTTTTTCTTAGTGAACATTTGGGTCATAGCTTCGTTGATAAGCTTCGAGTTTTTATCATTAACTAACTTTTGCCTTTAACTTCTTATGCGCAAATTAACTCATCATTGACCAGTAGGAATAATGGAAACTTCCCGTTTTCTGCGACTCTCCATAAAACTCTTAATTTTCTACGACTTGAAAATTAAAGCACTTGACAACACCGATGGTCAAAACTATCGGTCGAGCTATAAATAAGTCCTTATGTACTTATATGTGCTATGTGATGTTTATGACCATGATTTCCTCCTTCTTCTTTATGCGTCGTATTCCTCCTTGCTAGAGCCTTGACTACCCTTTTGCATCTTTCTCTCCGACGATCTTTTTTCATGTAAATCGGTCTTGGCGAATTCTTGCCTGCGATGCCGATGTAGAAGACGTTTTGAATAGGTAAATCCACCATGAATGTAATGATAGTGTAATAAAAATTGTTTGTATTAATCAAACAGTAATTTTATTAAGAGAAATATAAACTTTTAATCATGTGAACAAGTCGATGTTTTATTTATATATTCGGTACAGGATTTATGGAGGTGGAAGGACCACCCATCTCTGAGACGGATAAAGATTCTGGACACCGAGATAACTTGGCGCATTGGTCTACAGGACAAGTTATGAGGTAACCTAAGTCGCATATAAAGTAGATTACATTTTATACCTAGCTATTTATAGGTTACCATTACCATAATGGTATGGTTTCTTTATTAACGCATGGTTATTTTTGCTAAGATACTTAATAACATCAATAATAAAGCTGAATATTTTTTTTGAAGATAAATTTAGAGAGAATACCTATTTAGAAAGGCTATAAGTATTTTATTTTGAATAGCCTGCCAGACTATGACTAGACATAACTCCTTATAGTCAGTATTAAAAGAAAGACTAAATCTATGCACTAAAGAATTTCAGTGCGTTTCAGGGACATCACTACATAGTATAAAATAAAGTCGCATTGTCGGTCCCTATATCCACACATATGTTTACTATGCAATAGATTTTGATGCTATTTTTTGTATTATTGTTGGATAGCCCATATGTCATTCTTTTTGTGTATCGTGTGATGTCTGGATTAAAATATCCTATGTTTTCAACAATCCACTCAGGGCCACGGTGATACCACTGTCTTAATTGGATCTAAACGAAACTAAATATTTCTTAATGTACAGAAAATTAAATAAAGATTATGTGTAAACATAGGACATAGGTTTGAAATGGACATAAGTTTAACTGTCACGTTTCTTCAGGTCAGAAACATTTCAAGGCAAGAGTGGTGTTCACATGCCGTTCCAGGAGTACTTGCACAAAGGCCACTGCAGATTGAAGATCACCAAAGACTATATGCAAACGGCGGTGGATGCTTTCGCCATATTTATTTCAGGATCTCTTACAGATGTTGAGAACTTGCCCGCAACTTACGTGCTAGACTCGGTTAGTCATTAGCAGTTGTCGCTCCTTACTGAATATTAGAAGGCCCTATTTGTTTAAAAGCTACTATTGGTCAGGTTTGTTTAACCAATCAAATTATTGACATCAAGGTTGGACAACAATACGAAGTAGGGTTGGTCAGTTCAGTCGGGGTTACCTCGGGGGGGCCTCGTCCTAGAGCAGAAGGAACCGGGGGTTTATAGTCGGTAATAGTCTGACACACCCTCTCGCCTCAGCCTGGTTGAGAGAAGTTATCTGAATTAACTACGATAGTTATTATAAAAAATAATAAGTTATTATAAAATTAATCACGATAGTTATTATAAAAACACAGAAGTGATCTGATGATTTTCTCCTCACAAAAAAGGGATGGGGCTTTAGATATTTATGGCAAAGTAATCCGTATCTGTAGCACCCACTAATTTGTGTTAAGTGAACTATATACTGCTTATTAGTCAAATACTTGGTAAAATATAACAGGCTCGTACAATAGCCATGATGACAGTGGAACGTGAGAAGCTGGCTGCGACGTGGTACGTTGTAAAAGGGTCGACACCCACCGTGAATATCACATACGAGACCCTGGAGAAGTTCCGGCCACTCTTCAAGTATGTCAACGCCAGGGAGATTGCCAGGCTCAATCTCTCCGACGACAGGATACTGTCGTATGTTGGCACACATCCTGATCTTAGTAGACATCAGGTGAGTACCTAATGGTCACCAGCCAAAAATACCCTTAATGATTCAACAGCCAACCAACGAAATAGCATTTTTAAAAAAGAACTAATTTTTTTCGTTGTTAGTAGAGATAATATACCCATTAGAGGAATAGCTTCACTAAGCGAACTGACCGACAGATTGACACTTTATATTAAGTGTTTGACGTTCAAAAGTGCTTGTAAGGGTCTAATTGTAATAAATGATTTTGACTTTGATAAGTTCGGAATCTTCTGTCTGACTATTCTGAGAAGATATACTGGCACCATTTCAGAGTCATATTTTCAAAGTCTAAATAAAATACAGTGTTGGGGAGGTTACATAAATATTTTCAGGTTATATCAGTATCCATCTCTTTTTGTCTTTTAAACAGGTCGGCGTGGTGGCCAGTAAATACATAAAATCGAATCCTAGATGGAAGATGCCCAAATACCTGAACCTAATGAACAACTTAATTTGTGGAGTACCCATAACTTTTATGAGGAGGATCCCGGAGCACACATACTTACAACTGACGGACCAGGTTTAGGAATCAGCATATTAGATAATATAATATAGAGTTACACTTTATAAATAAAATTGTTCTAAATACAAAATGTTAAGTGAAACATGTTAGTCAAACCGTAAAGTTCACAATCGGCGCCCGCGCATTTTGGTGTCTCAAAAGTAATAAAACTTCTAAAAGTTTACTGAATGTTTATTATGTATAAATTTCAGAATCAATCTGTTTATTTTAACCCATTTCAATGGTGTGCTTTTTATACTCACATATGGTATCTATATATTTTTGTGAGAAGTCGCACTGTTTCGTAAAAAACCTCTTATAAATAATAATAAATTCTTAAATATATTTTTGTTATTTGCAGATATTTTACCACATACATGCATGTGATCCATTGCAGCGTAGGTTCTTTCTAGCCATGATGATGAGGACACAGGTAAAAACAAAATAACAATCCTTTCAAATTTAAGAGAATGGGTTGTCTCGACCGGAGTGACACCACGGCCTCATAGAATACCGGCGTGAAACAACGCTTGCTTGCTTGTTTGACGTTACCGGAGTCATCTTCAATCTCCAAAAATTTTTATAATCCACCCAAAGACAACGCAAATTATACTAACTCCCTTTGTGTTGATACACGCAACCATGGGCAGTGCCGATAGCTTACCATCAGGTAATAAGTCTGTTTGTTTGATGACCTATCTCATAAAAAAGCATTCCACACTTGGTAGTAGCTTCTTTGGAAACAAGCTGATGTGTGATGTTAATATCTCTAGAAAATTCTAAAAAAATCACTTAAACTGTAACTACATTTGGACATAGCAAGTATACAGACTACAATATGTTGCCGTATAATTTGTACAGGCGCTCGGTACATCATACAGTTGGAGTGCGCGCGAAGTGTCCCGGCTCGGCTTGCTGCTGGCTGAAGTCAGCGGCTCGGACTTGAGTGCTATTAATCCTGAGGCTATGTCTGGCATTACGTCACAGGTTAGTTGATGCTAGTTCAGGTAAAATGCCGCACAAGAAGATTTAGGACTTAGATAAATAATAAAATTCAGCGCAAAATTGATGATACACAGATTTTTGTGTCAATTTTATTGCTGTTGTTGTTAGAAGTTTTCCTTACTGCTTGCAATAAATGACTATAAGTAATAAACTTTCAGGTAATGTTGGAGATGCCGATAAATAGTCTTTTGTCGGTAACCGAGAGGCAGTTACGTTACCTCGACCCCAAGGCTCATAACATTTTGATGCGCAAGCTGATCTCTTATCAAGAACATCTTGAAAACTCCGCCTTTAAAGGCAATCCAACATGGTTTTCACGAAATTCATTACTTAATATCAACTTTATATCAATACTAGTTATTAAAATAAATATTGTGCATTTTTACTAATGATGTTTCTGAAGAATTACTGGTGAACTAAAAGCGCCTACTGTATTGAAAAAGCAAATGACAAACAAAATGCCGCGTCGTTGTATTGTAGTACTCCAGGAACTGAAGCATAATTAAGCATTAACAAAAGATCAAGCAAAAATTAAACAAAAATAATATTTTATAGTGTTTTTAATTTTCAAAACGGGAAATGTTTCAAAATGTGTAACGGCGGCAGATGAAATGAATATCGCCCGTCTTCGTGGAGTCGAGCTTCCAACTAAAAAGGAGGAAATAATGCAATTACTAAATACCAATATGAATTTTTCATATTCTTATATTTTTGTACTCTTTTCTTTCTTAACGGCTAACTGTATGTATTTTCTATGATTACTTAGATACCACTGACATACGATGAAGGGAAAAATCGCCAGGAAACCTGGACTTATCATTTCTAATTTATAAGTTTGAAATCTCCAATCAGCCTTGAGCAAGCGTGTCGATTAATGCTCATACCTTCTCCGTGAGAGAAGAGGCCTTTTATCCGCAGTAGGCTAATAATGATAATGATGATGAAATAATCAAAATTATTTCCAACTTACCATTACACCGCACCACTGCGTCTGTGTATGTGTGTGAGATACATTCTGTCGAACTGGCCTACAGCAAATTTGCGGCGTTGCTTGTGCAGTCAATGATGGGCCTACTTTGGACTGCATTTGCACGCATACTTTAGGAAATACATCCGTGGATTGCTCTGGTGGACCATCTCGTGGGATTTTCTGTTCTGGGCATATATTTGGGCATCTTTGCGGCTGCAATTGGAGACAAGTCTTTGCTACTTCGGGTTGCGAGCATTCTTGGGACTGCAATGGTTCACCTTTACGACATGATTGCGCCGGGACTCGTGTGGAGTCCTCTATTTGTACTGATGGGCAAGTTTGAGATTTTGCTTGTGACTGTGCTTGCGAATGTGTTTGGTGAAGGTTCTGTGGTTGTTCCTGCTGTCGTCTTTGGTTTTGAGGACAGATTTGCGGACAACCTTGGAATTGCACTTGATGACACGTATGTGGGCAACATTTTAATTGTACTGGAGAATTATTTTGTGAATGTTCCTGCAGCCGGTTTTGTGACTGCACTCGGGGACAGTGTTTTGACTGCTCTTGTGAACATATTTGCGATCTAAACTGAGGCAATGTCTGGGGACAAGTTTGTGACGCCGTTTGAGTAAAAGTGTCTGGGGAAGCTTGTAAGCACTGTTTCAGCACACCTCGAGATATTTTCGAACCAACCTGTGACTGCGAGGGTGGTTGCAAAGTTACAGGATCCTCTGTTTGTTGTACGTTTGTTTGAGGAAACAGTGTGCGGCAGGAGCTGGTTACTGCATGGTTTGCAACAGACATCTGAGAAATGCTCTCTTTTCTAAACTCGAATTTCAAACTGTCTTCAGTCATACTGACTTTACGTTTAGTCACTTGACTTTCACTTTTAGCATCGTCTGTTTGGGAAGTGGAGTTTATCAACGCAATCGACCTTTCTGTGTCATTTTTATTTGTTCCAGTAGTCTCTAATTCCATATTCGAATAAGCCTTTTTAATTGGAATAAAACTGCTCATTTGTTTTACATCATGCTGCAGTGTTGATGGAAGTGGCTGATGCGGAGTCCCACAATTGCATCTGAAAATGTTAATTTTCGTGGAGATTCAGATCGAGAAACCATACAAGCAGTTATTAGAAATAAAACAAATCTAACTTAACTTAAGTGTAAGAGTCAAGAAACCAGTAAAAGATATTTATCTAAATAAGCTACAAAATAATAGCAGTTTAACACGTTTGAATTTACCGTTTATTTGTGTAACTTCAAGTTTAGTGAAAAAAAAATAAAAAAAACAAGATGAAAGTATTTGTTAACAAGAAATATATGTATAAAATTAGCCTAAGCATTAATTAGCTGAATTAATAAGATATTGGGTGGACAGATCTTTTAAACCCTGTTCTTCTAAAAGAGGACATCTTGTGGTAGACATGATGATGGAAAGATATTTTTGAAAGACATTATAAAAGTTACGGTACTTAAATTATTTACTTACCTATCTTCAATACGATGCGGACAGGTTGGCAATAATACAAAATACTTTTTACTGTCACAACATGCCGGTAGATCGGATAGAGGTGTGTTATTTAGTCCGTCACAGCAAGCACACTGGACAACCACTACTTTGGGGTGACCCTCAAAACCACTTCCATTACCAGTTTCTTCATTGAGGAATGATTGCAGTGATTTGCTTTGCACATATAAATCGTCCTCAATCATTACTTGAGATCCTCTATCTGTAGCAGCTATATTTGTTAATGACCTGGATTTTCGGGTAGCATTTTGGGACGATTCTCCATTTATAACTTCAATGTTCAATTTAAAATTGAATATGTCTCCCTTATTTAAAATTGATATGATGTTTTCTTTATCATTAATAGCGACCATACTGTCTCGTAAGTTAGGTAATGTCCGCTGCATTTTCGTTGTATTAAATTCAACTACCCCGTGTCCGTGTTGCTCAGCTGCGTCACAAACTTCTGCATACGTTTGAACTCCTTCGTTGACATGAATAGATGCGACGCTCTGCTGAATAGAGATAAGTTCCTTTTTCACTTGGTCCGGACCATCTTTAATATCACCAATTACGTCTTTAACCGAATTTAATCTCATAGAGGCTATTTCACTAACTGTATTTCTAAACAAATTTGTAGAGACTGTTATTATTTCTGTATTGCCGTTAACATTTTCTTTAGGAATAATATCTGTTGATAAGTTTTCTAAATTTGATATCAATTTTGGATTAGTGTCCTGAGTATTAATTTCCATCCTTGGTGATGAAACCTCAGGAGCAGTAGTTTGCTTGATTGGATATTTGGCAATCGGCTTTTGTTTTTCAAGTTTATGAGAAATAAAGTCATATGTATTATCTTTTGTGACTATTTTCTCTTCTGATTCATTTGGTACTTTCGAAAAAGGATTTTGATTTATAGACATATGAGTTTTTGGATAATTATTCCATGAATTTCTTGTAGATGAAGTTCTTTTACATTCATGTCGTTGTGTTTCAGTATTGTAAGTAATTTCTGCAACCTCGTTTTCCCCTATATTGTCTAGTCTTATCGCGGGCTCAAAAGTTCTGTTGTTGACATCATTTACTATAGTATTCGGTCCACCTATTTTATCGTTAATGTCAATATCACCTAATGGCGTTTCATCTTCTTGCACGGGCAATACTCCCAACTTAGGTTTGGAACAAATTTTTTCTTTAATACTTGTTCTAGCTTCAGGCATAAATGGCTTGGTACGAACATCAGCTGTTTTTAAAACCGAGCTTTTCCTTTCGGTATCGGGCCCACTACTGCCCCTGATCCGAATATCACCTCTTTTGCTCTGACTTTCATCAAATCTCGATCCAGGATCAGTTTCTTTAATTTTCTGCATACTCATTTGATTATTCCGTCCAGGATCTTTCGTCCTAGTCTTGTTTATTCTGGCTTTGTTTTCATTAACTCTTTCTCTTACTGGTTCTCCTACTTTGCTTCCATTCATTCCGTTTCTAGGGTTCTGCAGACTTAGCTTGCGTATATATTCATTTTCTCTTCCTCGCTGTTCGCTTGGTTGACCTTTGTATTCAATACCATTACTTTTCAGTTCACTCGTTCTTTGCTCATTTTTATTTTTAACATTATTATATTCTCTTGAATTCTCATTCCCTGAGTTTCTTGGCACTTCTCCTGCTTGGTTTCTATGCATTTCGTTTGTAGGTTTCTGTTGACGCAGCTTACGTACGTATTCAGCCTCATCATCTTTCTGTTCACTAGGTCGGTCTTTATACTCAATATCATTTTGTCCCTTATCATTTATACTCTGGTCATACTTATTTTCTGTTTTATAGTACTGACTTATATTTTCAAGCACTGAGCTCCTTGGGTCTCTTGATTGACTTCCACGCATTTCGTTTCTAGGTTTTTGTAAGCTCGACTTTCGTAAATGTTCATTTTCTCTACCTCTCTGCTCACTAAGCTGACCTCTACACTGATAACTATTGCTCTTTGGTTCACTAATTTTCCGCTCAAATTTATTTTTTGTGTTATTGTATTCAGATATTTTTTTATTGAGAAAGCTTCTTGGTCCTTCAGGTGTCTCTTGACTCAATTTGCGTATGTATTCATTTTCCTTGGCACTCTTTTCACGAGGTTGACCCTTATTTGCAAGATCATTGCTATTGAGTTTACTTGTTTTGTGCTCATTTTTATTTTTCGTGTTATTGTTTTCACTTACATTTTCATTCTTTGAGCTTCTTGGTTCTCTTACTTTACTTTCGTTCGTAGGTTTTTGTTGACTGGACCTACGTATGTATTCATTTTCACCGCCTCTCTGTTCACTAGACTGACTTTTATACACAATATTGTTGTTTTGTTGTTCACTAATTCTCCTCTCACTTTTATTTTCTGCTTTAATGTATTCATTAATATTTTCGTCTCTAGGTTTTTGTTGACTCAACTTGCGTATGTATTCATCTTGAGTGCTTTTTTGGTTACTAGGCTGAGATTTATACTCAACACCATTCCTTTTTAGTTCACTTTTTTGGCCTTTATCTCTTACATCTGCAAATTCTTCCTCTAATTTAAATTCATTTGTCTTGGTTTTGCTATAGTTTTTTTCAGGTATTTCTTCTCTTTCTCTTCGGTTTTCACGATCATCTTCTACGTCTTTTAAATCTTCAGTCCTTGTATTTATTTGTTCAACAGTTAAAACTTTTTGGTCATTTGGAATATTTTCTTGCTTATTCCTACGGGCTTTCAACATGTCCATTTTAGCTTCAGTTTTGTCATTTTGTCCCGATATTGGTTCAACTTTGTTTAACTTAGTTACGTTTCCACGTTCTTTGGATCCATATTCACCTGATCTAGTAATTTGTTGGCCGGTTCTACTTCCATCACTTAATCTAGGTTTATGAGTTAATGACCGTGTTGTACCTTGAGTGCATATAGAACCGGTAGTACGTTCTCCCGAATCGTAATCTTCCAAAGGTTTCTCATACTTTCTTTTTTGAAATCCACTGTCTATAGATCCTAGTACCCGTTCAGCTTCCATTTCAAATCTTTCATTAAAACTTCGCTTCCTTTCTTTTTCACCTGCTTTTGACTTTGCGGCAATTTTATTTGTCCATTGATCATTATTATTTGGTTCTCCATAATAATCGGTATCCTGAACTCCTTCAGAGTTCCTTTGTCTAGAGGAATCAAGTTTCTGGTTACTACTGTCATTCGAATTTTCATCACCTTTTTTAATGTCGGTACCTGGATGTTGTTTAGAAGGTTTAATGTCATATTGCTCATTTTCGTTAACCTTGTTTGGTGCAGACTGACTTTCGGTTTCAGATTTATTAAGAAAACCTTCATTATCATTGGTGTTACAAATGCGCGTTTCAGGTTTAGGATAAACCTGTAAAGGGAAAAACAACTTTAATGGCAGGGTTAAGCTGTGTTGAGCATATTTTACTAAACTGTTTTCTCTCCTTTTACTATGAATGTGATTTTTTATAGCCTAATTGTTTTTAAGAAGTAGCATTCAAATGTTTACGTACGGTTGTCACAAACTCTTCATTTAGCGAGCTCTGGTCCGTTTGCTTAGTAGCGGGCATTAAAAGTTCAATGGATTCCGACTCTAAAAAATCAAAGGATGCAATCCAATAAAAAAATTGAAACATAGCATCAAGGGTTCAAAGTACAATGAAGTGTGTATGTATACTTACTGTCAATATCTTTTATATTGCAGGTAAAGTCCTCGCCTACAAATAAAATAAATATACGTTTAATTTACATGATCATAACATGACACCTCTTTTATTGCCAAAATATGCACAAATTGACACACAAACTTTGGCTGTTAGAGTACGTCCATGGCATTAGCCCACCTTTTTTAAGTACAATATTTATTTAAACTTCTTGCATAATGGGTACATAGGCGTTTGAGTACATAGACATAGGATACATAGGCTCACACCTACAACTCCAGCTGTACGCTAGCAACACTACAACTTCTACCGTATTTAAACCGACAGGCCTAGAGTCATACATATATCATCAATAAAATATTAGATTAACAGCATAAATATATTAACAGCATACTAACCAGCTTTCTTTCTCGCTTGTCGCTTTTCCCAGGACCTTTTTAAAAGAGGAATAATATTAGAATGTAAACATTTTTTAAATATTACTGTTTTTAAATGTTAAAAACGCACAGGTGTGCAAGATTTTTTCTTTAATGTGAAAACAACATGTATTGTTATAATTGAAAATAACGAATTTCTCACGTGAATTAACTAAGAAAAGCTCTACTGGTTTCAAGTCACATGGGGTCTCTTGTTCGTAAGCGGCTTGTCCGTCACGGCGACATCGTACAGCTGACTGACTCGACAACTACCTGAATTAATGTTATTTCCAGTAAATATGTATAATAACAATCGTACATACTTTGAAGCTTTCATAAGGTATTTCTGATAGCCAGCATCAATGAACTCTTCTGGTGGTTGGACGGCAACGTAAGCCTGGCCATCTTCGAGCTCAAGTGGACCCTGCACCAGATGCCCGTCAATTGTGTACAAATATATTTGGGGATGCCTGAAAGAACAGGAATTTACTGCCTCAGATTGCTCAAATAAACGAAAGGTTTTACAGACATTTATAGCATTAAATACATATTTACTGTATTCCATAATGAGATCTTGCCAATTGGTTCAATGTTATCTCCCACCAGTCGAGTTCCTCAGCGTCCAAATGATATTTCCTTGGGGGTGAGTACTGCTGGCCGTTTGAGAACAAGTATATCTCAATGGATCGCCAATTTCCATCGTCATTAGGGATCTTTGCGTCGTCTGTATTCATACTAAGATCCTTTTCACTTTCAATTTAGTCGTAAAACCTTCACAAACAATAAAATTACAAATGTATAATAAATATTTCGTAAATATTTTCATCTAAACTGACAACTGATTTTGCACTAATATAAAATCATTATATAATAAAATTTTAAAGTAATATTATAATTCGTCTAAGTAATCATTTAAAACAATGTTTTCTTCAATAAATTACAATGAAATTTATATTATTTTCTAATTCGTTTTCAAAACACCGCGACAGTTCATATCTTTATATTGACACTAGAATTTTTGTGTTACCATTACTTTCTTAAATTACCAAAAACCTTCATTTTTAAAGATGAAACGCCTCCTTTATTTCAAAAGTGAAATTAATGGCAACACTCTGGCATTTAAGGTGTCTTATATATACTGTCAATCGAATTTATCCAAAATCTCTTAAATTTACCGATAGCGTTTTCGTTTGTTGTTCTTGAAGACATATATTTAGGCTGCTTATAGCAATATATTCCCATATAGGCATAGAGGAAAGTGAAAAATGTGTCTATTGCGGGAATATGATAAAATAATTTTTAACAAAAAAAAAAAAAAACAAAACAAACAAAAGCAAAAAAAAAATTTACTTTGTTCAAAGTAATATTTTCATTTAGTTAAATAGAAAATAATATTTAATAACTATTTTATAATCTTAAAGTCACGACCAATCTATATAGGTGCAAAGTACTCACCAATACGAATCATTCAAGCCCAAACACAAGGCAACTACTCCAAATAGTCAAGGAGATCCCTCGACTGTCTTCCGGCTCCATCATCAAGTCGGGATCGAACATCGGCTAGTTGTAAATTTGTCAAAAGCCTACTAAAATTATATGCATAAGCACCACTCACTCCTACAATTTTTGAAAGTTCCCCTCCATTTCTCTGGTCTTCCATCATTAGATCCGGATTTCCTTATCATGGGACCATTCTGGGACTATCTCCTTTCCAATAAAAAAAGAATTATCAAAATCGATTCATAAATAAAGGAGATATCGGCGAACAAACATAAAAAAAGCATATATACGGTCGAATTGAGAACCTCCTCCTTTCTGGAAGTCGGTTAAAAAATCAAAGTTCACTAGGCCCTCGGATACGTTGTAGCAATAAAACCACTGAACTTGTCGGTTTACGTATTCCACGGGCACATTACTGATATTCGAACTCCTTTTTCTTCCTTTGATCTTAGTTTAAACAAAGTGCATGGGCATAGGAACGTTGTCTAAAAGCCATCCGTGAGGAATCGGTATGCATAATTTGGAACAGTTTTTGGCACGATTTTGACAGTATTATTTTCTTCACGGTAGGGCAAAGTGTAGTAAAACGTTTATCAAAGTGCAACAACATGTGAACTGTCCGTTTGATTTAGTTAAAGTTCGTCACTTCGTGCTGTAAGTTGGGGTCAACGGTCGGCGCACCTAGAGAGGGGTGCTCTTTGGTCGACTCACTTGACATTTCATTAAAGTATACCTATCGTTATTTTTTTAGTTTTCCCCTATTTGGGGTGCTAAAATATGCTTCAAATTTTACTTAGTCATTCGTCTGTGCTAATAGTCTATTAATATAAAGGATTTTACTAAATCGTATCTCGATTAAATATATGTATTTCTTTCAAGGGGCATTTAAGCACAAATTTTATGATTTAAATCGAAATGGTTACCTACACTTGGTATTTCCCCTGTGTTGTAAATGCGTTTACAGGTTCACAAGCAAATTAAAACTCGACCGGGAAACACTATTTTTGGATTAAACATAGAATTGTTCTGAGACGGAATCGAATCCGTGACACGTTGCACGGCAATGTAGTTGTTCGACTGGATTGGACTGGCCGTCATTGCCCTGCCGTTGCCGCCGTCAAATATCTTTGTACCTATACATATTATATTATTTTCAATCAATGTTAAAAAAAAAAAAATAAAAAAATTTCAATGTTGAAGATAAATAAAACAAATGCATATATATAAATTGTAATTTGATTATAATTATTTGATAAGGAACAGTGTAAACTTCCTTTAGCAAACGAAATATGAAGTTAGTTTCCATAGAATATTACGTAAAAATAAACTATTTTGTGATGTTTTGGACAATATTATAATAAAACATCGTGTCTGCATTAAGATGCGCCGGCGAGTGTCACTCTCGCGGTACTCATTTGCATTCGGTTTCACTTTTCTACCGCCATATTAGTAATGGCAGATTCATCCGTAACAATATCAGTGGGTACCTTGTTTTAGAAATCCGTTCGTTCACCTCTACGCGAACATTTGACATGATTTGTCGTATGTTAGTCAATTTACATAAATCTTAGCAAGTTGCTTGCTTTCGTACGATGTCTGATTCTAATTTTGGTCTAGCATTGTTTTTTTTTGTGAGGGGAAAATCATCAAATGACTTCTCCTGCTCTGGGCCGAGGTCGCGGTGCCTCATTGCGCCTACCCCGCAACCCCGGCTGAACTTCGGCCCTTTGGTCTAGTATAGTTGGGTATTCATTTTCATATCGTGGTGATATTTAATTTTATATGCTGAGAAACCTTTTTATTCACTACCTAGCCTGGTGGTAAGCAATTTTGTGAGCTTCGGGACACACAAACTCCGTCAAACTCCTATACGGTTCTCATGAAAAAACTGAAGGCGATTGGCTTCGTGCGTGTAACTTACTTTTAATTTCCATAATCCAGCGGCCCCTCATATGTATGGTTTATTTACACTTGACTTGTTTAATTTATTATTTTAATTTTTAAATTTCTATATTTTTTATATAAAATCGGTTTGACAATTTCTCTTTGTATATTTTTTTTGTATTTATTTTTTATTTGACTTAAATTCACTTATATTTAATGTAATCTATGTAATGTAATGAAATTTTATGGATTTTTATTATATGAAATAAATTGAATTGAATAATCATCTATACTAATATTATAAAGAGGTATTGTAAGTTTGTATGTAGGGGGTAATCCTTAGAACCGCTGGTCGGATTGCCAAAATTCTTTTCTGATAGATAGCTACAATATTCCTGAGTGCTATAGGCTATAAAACATCCCGCTACGATTAAATGGAGACCATGCGAGAGTAGCTAGTTATTTAGAAATAAGTAAAACAATTACATCGATCTCTATTATCGAATCCAAGTTCATAACTACAACTAGGTCCCCTTTGTGTAACGCTTCAGTTAACTCATACAAAGTTTAAGCATGACTTGTGTTGTCAAACCGTTGGCCTTGTGCTGGGTGTATCATTGTTTTAAGAACCCACGGGCTCCGGCGCGTGTGTCGAGCGGTTTAGAAATGTTTTGTCTTAGCCAAATGGCCCTCGACCCACGTAGCTACTTCACCCACTCTCAGTATTAGTATATATGCCATGTTATGTCTTCAAGATTCTAACCTGACCTGCGTCACTTGTTCCTTTTAAAAAATGTATAATTTTTAAGGTCATCAAATGAGTTATCTAGCCCAGAGAGAAATAATTATATTTAGGTACTAGAAATTATTCTAGCTGTTTTCGCCAGTAAGTCACTAATAGTTTTATCGATGTAAGGTACAAGTTTTATTGATGACATACTTCTCTACCATTAAAATAAACACATGTAAGAGCAAAATGCCCATCCATCTGACTGCGAAAATGTTTCGTATTTGATGATACAATATTACAGTATTATACAAGACATGTAAGAATTTTTATTGATCTAAAATCTACTTGGTTCTCATGACGTTCCCACCGGTGTAGTTATAAGGGATTCCTTTAAAAATACGTTTGATTGAATTTTTTCTGTGCCTTGTAAGTATATTGATATTAGTATCATCTCTATTTTTCTACTTTCTCTATTATAAAATAGCATTTACCTGTGAACTTTTTTCTGTTGCATTAAAACTCTGTCCATATCCTAATCCTTTATCCCCAATTCCAATACCCAAATGTCAAACCCCTAATCCCCAAAAAGCAGAATACGAATACTCGATTGCCAAACTATCCCTTAAAAATAATTAAATCTTCATTATCATCATCTTCTGCTGAACAAGAAACTGCCATTCGACGTTAAGACATCGGAATCAAACAGATACAGTGTTTAATTTTTTTTTGTGAGGGGAAAATCATCAAAATATGACTTCACCCGCTCAGGGCCGGGCAGGAGGGAGTATCAGACTCTTACTGACTAAAAACCCCCCTGTTCCTTCTCCTGCTCTGGGCCGAGGTCGCGGTACCTCATTGCGCTTACCCCGCAACTTCGGCTGAACATCAGCCCTATAGGGCCCCGTCTGTGGTGGTCTATTAGCTCTTTGAGGCGGGCGTGGAACGCTACGCGCCGTACGCTCGGGACAGTGTTAACTTAACGTGACTGAGTCAGGTGCACAGAAACTATTTTAAATTTACCATTTAAAAAAAATTGTTCCGGAAACGGAACAGCTTTATGTATGTAGGTGAAGCAAACCGGAATTAATTTTTGTGATGTAGGCAGCCATTTCGTCTCATTCAGCGTGAATATTACCTCAATTAATAACATTTTAGCGTGTTTTTTGTTTTTGTGTCTATGTATTTACTTGCCGAGATCAGCCATGTATGGTATTTATATGCTATACTAGCTCTGCTTGCGGCGTTCGTCTCAAGATATCGTTTTTTTGAGGTTCGAAAATCATTATACATATATATAATTTCTCCCGTCCTGGGTAAGGCGAGATGAAATGTTAGACTCTTATGGACTAAAACCACGCCGTTTCTTCTACATCCTCGAAAGATATAGGAATACTTAACAACTCGATTCAATCAGATAAATATAATAATTTACACGACCGCCACGGAGGTCAGTCACCGACGGTAGCGGAGGATTTCTTTTCAATAATTTTCTATCGGCAGTCAAAGGCTTAAGATATACCTACTTAATTAAATTAAATTTAATTATAGAGTAATATATTTATTTATTAATAATTAAATTGTAAAGATACAGTTATTAAAATAATTTTGAAAGGAATTTAT